CACGGACAACTCAGTTGTCCAGGCTTTCCTCACGAAGTCTAAGCTTTCCCCTCGACAGGCACGCTGGTGGCGTAACTTATCCGAGTTCAGTTTCACCACTCAGCCCATCAAGGGTGAAACGAACCGCTTCGCCGATGCCTTGTCCCGTCGTCCTGATCACAATCAGGAACCCATCCATCTTACTGCCATCTCCATCACCACTGTTGATCAGTCGGTGATCGACGTGTATCGCACTCAGTACCGCCACTGCCCCGATTATCGCGTCATCCACGCGACACTGCGGAGTGGCAAGACCGTTCCTTCCTACTCCCTCGGGGAAAACGGCCTCGTGTACTGGCATGGCAGATCTGGTCAGCTAGAACCACGTATCTGCGTTCCCTCCACCGGACAGCTCCGCGTCCAGGTTGTAGCAGAGTTCCATGACCAGGCAACTGCTGGTCATATGGGTTTCCACAAGACGTTGGCTCGTGTTTGCTGCCTATACGTCTGGCCAAAGTCCAAGGACTTTGTTAAAGCCTACATCCAGGAGTGTCCTACTTGCCAGGAGGTGAACAGTGCGAACCACCTTCCGTATGGGTTACTTCAGCCCTTACCCATACCTGAGGGTCGTTGGCAGTCCATCTCGATGGATTTCATTGGTCATGTCCACCCACCCACTGAGCGCGGTCATGATGCTATCTTGGTCGTCGTCGATCGCTTCACGAAGCGTGCACGTTTTGTCCCGTGCTGCTATCGCATTAGCGCTCGTGAGGTCGCGGATATCGTCTTCGACCGAGTCGTGAGAGATCACGGCTTACTCAGAGCATCATCTCTGACCGTGACCCGCGCTTTACCAGCACATTCTGGCGACGCGTATACGAGGTGTACGGATCCCAGCTCCGCTTCTCATCGTCTTACCACCCTCAGACGGATGGTCAGACTGAGGTCACCAACAAAACTCTCGGTAATATCCTCCGAAAGTTTGTTAGGGATGACCAACAGTGAGACTTACACTTAGCCCACGCGGAGATTGCGTACAACCACGCTGTTTCGCCAGCCACGGGGATGTCACCATTCTATTGCGACCTCGGTTACCACCCTCGCGTACCCGCGGATTTCCTACGACCATAGCGGTTGCGCCCAGACACTCGTTGCCCTGCGCTTGACGACTGGATCGCCCATATGGCGGCGATTATGAAGCGCGCACACGAGAGTTTAACCGACTCCCAGACTCGCATGGCCGCACGAGAAAACCGATCACGAATGGATCATCCATTCAAAGTCGGTGACGATGTGCTCGTCGACGCACGCCACTTACAGCTCGAAGCAGATACGCTTCGAAAGTTCAGGCGTCGTTTCTTCGGTCCATGCCGCATCCTTCAGGCCGTCGGTTCCGATACTGCCGCTAGTCCGGTCATCTTCTGTGTGAAGCTACCTAATTACCTTCGACGGACTCGCGTACACGATGTTTACCACGTCTCCTTGCTGCGTCCTTATCGCAGACCGTCCGAGCGCTTCGCCGGACGCCCTTATGAGCGCCCTCCACCTATCATGGTGGACGGTCACGAGGAGTTCGTTGTTTCCGACATCATATCACGCCGAGTTACCGACGATACCCCTCCACGCATCGAGTACCTTGTGCGTTGGAAGGGCTACCCTGATGAGGAGGCTACTTGGGAGCCCTTCGAGCACTTGCAACACGCCAAGATGTTGGTGCGTACATATGATCGTGCTCGTCGTGCTGAGATATCTGCGTCTACTCAGCCGACTGACCCTCTTCCTCCTCCTCCGGCTGAGGAGATTGTTGAGGACGCGCCCGCTCCCTCTGAGGTCGTTTCTCAGCCGCAGACGGTCGCCTCCGAGCGTCTACAGCGCACTCATCGTCGCCCTTCGCCTTACGATGACTGACACTCTTATCCTCTATCTTTCCCCACTGACTCACACCATCAGGTACTCCATCATCATCTCTTCTTCAGGATGTCAGCGTTTTGCGGCTCTGCTTCAACATCGACTCCACTGCTACTTCATCGACGTCATCGACTACTTCGACGACTTAAGTTTCTTTGGACGTGACTACTTCACGTCACCACCCTACCCTGTATACTCCCTTGCCCCTGTCGCATGATGGTTCTCACTTAGCTGGGTCTCTTTGAGTTTGACTCTCCCTTGGTATCGCATAGGCATTGGGACCGTAGCGTTATCTTGGCTTCCTTGCTCCCAGATCTAGCTCCCTCTCCCAGTCGGTGAGTTCTGTGCATGTTTCCCTTACCCACTGCCCTCATCACCCTAGCGCCGGCTATTGCATGCCTCCAGTTCGGCATAGCTCCACCCTATTCTAGGCTCCCCTTTTCATGGTCGACCCTGCATGGTGTCACCCTTTTGTCGAGCATTACCCGACTTGATGGTCTATCTGTTAGGGTTATTGGTTTTGTTTCGCTACCACTCTCTCACCTTGAGCCTGATGACCTATCCCACCTTCATGTGTGACTGCCCTTAGGAGTTGCGCTTTTTCTTTCAGCACTGAGGCCACTGCCTCCAAGATTTTAGGATTGTATCATACTACATTTCATTTTCTGCTGTTAGCTAGGATATGTATACCAGACATTTGCTTTTCTTTTGACATTATGTAGCTTAGGCTGCATCCTGTCTCTTATACACATCTAGATGTGTATAAGAGACAGTAGCTAGGATATGTATACCAGACATTTGCTTTTCTTTTGACATTATGTAGCTTAGGCTGCATCGCATGGACTCCGCATGGAGCTTGCTCCGCATCCTAGATTTCTCTGCTTTCTTTGTTGCAGAGTTCCGCTGCTTTTGCGGATAGCGTGTTTATGGCTCTTGCGATCCATTACAGGTTTGAGGATCGTGCAGCGGGCCTTCATCTGCCCTGGCCCACAGCCAGGGCCTATTTGGCTATTTGCCAGTTCGGCCTGTGGGACCAGGCCGTGGCCTGACCCCACAGGCCGTGTGGTTATTCAGTCCAGTCCAGGCCTGCCCGGTACCACTGTCGGTACCAGGCCAGTCCAGTCCAGTCCAGTCAGGCCGCTGGGGGCATACCCCAGCTGCAGTTTGTTGTCTGCGTTGGAGCTGTGCTGTCCCTTCCAGCTCCATCTCCATCTCCCCCATCCTCATCCCTTCGTCTTGATCCTGACGGACCGCCATCCCGGCGGGTCCGTCACAACTGGGGGGGAGGCCAGAAGCTTTAGTGCCGCCTGCCTCATGGCTCCTCTGAAGACCAGCATAGAGTTAACAATAACCCTACTTCTAAACCTCACCAAATTAGGCCTCCTTTATCAATCAAGCATATGCAAACTACGGGCTGCGCACCCGTGCCCTCACGGTAAGTCAATATGTGTGTGTTGTCATTTTCGCTATACACTAAAAAAAAGCATGACTGTGCCAGACTGTTTCGTCGGACTTTCACCGACTCATCAGGAAGGTGTGTGTGTGTGTGTGTGTGTGTGTGTGTGTGTGTGTGTGTGTGAGAGAGAGAGAGAGAGAGAGAGAGAGCATCTCTGCACACTGATCCCACGTGTGATCACGGTCCCTGGGGGCGAGGTCCCACTTGCACGGATTACAGGGCAAGTGGGACCTTACTTGCACGGATTACAGGGCAAGGTCCCCCTAGCCCTGGGGTCGTAGTCCCTCCGGGACAGGCTCACGAACCGTCTGGCCGCAAATGCGTTACTGGTGCACCGTCGGTTCCCACGGTCATTTCCACGCTGGCGGGCTGGCGCTGGCCCACTGTTTTTCGTTCTGGCGCGGTACTAGTAGACCGCTGGCGTTGCCATCTTTCTCTTGTGGATCTCCCTTCCTTCAAATTCGGCCGAAAGACGGCCACTGACGGCCGTTCGTGCTACCTGGTAGCTCTCATCTCGGGGTTGACGGTTGCGGTTAGGCAGAATCAAGACGTACTCACACCATCACTTTCCTAAATGCACCTGCCCACAACTACGGCCGGAAGTGGATGCATCTGACCTCAATGATGCTTCAAATGCACCGCTTTTAAACACGACAAGATTACGAGGCATTGCAACCAGAGAAAGGTTATCAGGAACAGTCGTCTTTTGTGCACTTCTCATTCTGGTCATGGAGATCCAGCTGGGACAGGGCTCTCCCTCACTCTCTTGGGAGGAAGGAGGGGGAGAACACCCAGTGCGAGCTCTGCTATGGTGGCACCAGGCGGGAACGTCGAGGTCACGGATATTACCCTACCGTGGAGACTAGGGTTTACCAAAATTTTGAAGCGCCGCCAACCTGTTACTG